ATTTGGATAAAATTTCCTTTTTATATAAACTATCAAAATGAATACATCATACACAATGGTATAACTGGTCCTTTGCTTGACATACAAGATTACAGTACACTGGGTAAATATTAATGCTGTATGTGGAAATACAGAACAATTTGTACAGGTAAATAGACATACAACTGTTTGTGCACTTATATTTTTGTTTATCATCCAGTACACCAAATTTACCCACCAATTCTAAACAAATGACTGTCCTATTGTACTGAATTTTATATCATTATTTATGATAGCACTTGACAGAATGTTCCAAATGAGCTTCCAATAGGTATTTATTACCTACCTAAAATAAAACCTTTTTTAATGTGTCTTCGCTCAATAGAAGATGCAATCAATTTTATAATTTCCATTCATGATAACACGTTACTTATAACAGAACAATTTCAATAAGTATCTGCAATTGTGTTTACAATATGTGAGCACAGATGTGTGGATTTGGCAGTGCACAATGTCTTTGTATAACCACCCCACCATCATACAAATACAGGGGTGGGGTGGTGTAGTACTTCTGATAAAAAACAAAGATACTCTTACCAACAACAATAGCATTCATGTTTTCATACAACATGTGCTAAACTAAAACACGACTTAAAATAAAATTGTACACACAGATAACACTGCATCATCATATATTCTTGTATTTACAAACTTGACAGATAGCTGTTGATAATACCAAAGTATGGCAGTATATAATGCATATAGTGACTGTGGAATGTATGATTATCTGATCACCATTAATGCTGACTTCAGTGAGGCTTGTACTCATAAGACAATGTGTCCCATGTTTTGAAGAATGCTAATTATATAATAAGTTGTCATAAATCTTGACAGAGATTTAGGCGTTTTTAAAGAGCCATTTGCCATCTTCATCTGAAAAAAAAGTAGTGATATTATTAAATAGATATAATTTTTCTCACTTGTATAGATATACAGATTTGGTGACAATCTACTAAAAATACCTCAAAGTATGCCGAAACAATTAAGCAATAACCTAAACAGTAACTTACATCCTTAAATCGCAATAAACAATAAATGAACAAGTTTGAGGTATAATAACTTCCAAATAGAACAAGATAAAATAGAAATGTGACAATAATAATAACAAGCCATGCATGGCACAGTTCCCGTTCAGGCAGCGCCTGAAATGCGATTATTTCTGGTTTTCTTCCGTCCACCCCCTTTTATATCATTTTATACATTTTTTCAGAAATTCTGCAGCAGATATCAATGAAACTTCGCAGGTTGACGAACAAGTCTCTGTTGAAAATGCACGTAATTTGATTTTCCAAATCTGAAATCCTTAAAAGTAACTTACATCCTTAAATCGCAATAAACAATAAATGAACAAGTTTGAAGTATAATAACTTCCAAATAGAACAAGATAAAATAGAAATGTGACAATAATAATAATAACAAGCCATGCATGGCACAGTCCCTGTTCAGGCAGCGCCTGAAATGCGATTATTTCTAGTTTTCTTCCGTCCACCCCCTTTTATATCATTTTATACATTTTTTCAGAAATTCTGCAGCAGATATCAATGAAACTTCGCAGGTTGACGAACAAGTCTCTGTTGAAAATGCACGTAATTTGATTTTCCAAATCTGAAAATCCTATGTGGGTCTTTTTCAAGATTTTCATCCCAAATTACCTCTCCCTACTGCACTGAGAGAACAAATGAGCATGCTCAGAATAAATAATTAGCTTAGATTGTAATGCTAGGGTTTTTAGTGATGTCATGACTTTGATCTGAATCGGTGACAGATGGGTTGTACCATTGCCAATCTCAGTAGAAAATGTTGAGGGGTGTTAGGGCTACATTTTGATGGGAATTATAGTGGTGATACTGAAACAAACCCAGGTCCTGTAATATACAAAGACCTGAATTAACAAAGAAGTCAAGTTGTTGTTATTAAAGGTACATCAAGATTTATGAATGCAGTTTCTTGAGCATGTATGAGACATAGTTTGGTTGTACTTTTGTACTCTGAGATTTTGGACCCGCCTTCTTGAAGTTCTTGAAATCAAATAAAGTTACTAGTTCTTCTAGCAACTAGTGAATAA